AGACCTGCCTTTCATAAACCCATGCTGACTGGGCCTGATCACCCGGTTAACCTGTATGTGCTCATTAATAGCACTCAAGATAACCTGTTCCATGACTTTGCCCGTCACCGAGGTCAGACTGACAGGCCTGTAGTTCCCCGGATCCTCCTTCCGCCCTTTTTTGTAAATGGGGGTAACATCCGCCAGCCTCCAGTCCAGTGGAACTTCCCCAGTGAGCCAAGACTGCCCAAAGATAAGTCACAGCAATTCAGATAAGCATCTTAGAAGTTTTACTTTTCCTGCAACTGTAAAACTGGAGGTTTGTGCTTTGGGCTTTGGTTTGTTTTGTTGGGGTTATTCGCTTGTTTTGTCAAGTTTCCTAGAGTTAACATAAGTTTTGCACCACTAGTCTCCAGTCTAGATTTCCTTCCCCGTACAAAGGAAATGGCTCCTGACCCAACTTCAAAAAGTTTAATGGATTACAGCAGTGATGAGCACAAACATGCAGAAAGACACTGGAGTTTGCAGAGAAACTGATGAGTCAAGCAATGGAGTGAAAAAACATCTTTTCCACATCAAGTGGAAAAGAGTTCCTATACACTTCTCTTTTCCAGTTTTGACATGATATCTAGTATTTCCCACCTTTCTAGAATATTTCTTTGTAAGCTGTTGAGGTTTCTTCATATTGGCTCAAAGTGCCATCCAGGTAATTTATTTGCTCCAAATCAAACGAACAACTTGAACATAGCCAAAATTAACCTAGGCTAACACCAAACAAATTTATAGATTGTGAAATCTCCTTCAACTCTGTAACTAACTACTATAATTTCATGGTTTTCATGTATGCCTAACTTGTTTTTCCCAAATTATTTTGATTCCAAAATATTGGCTGCAATGACAGAAAAAACAATACCTAACCTCCCCCCTCCTTTTTGTTCCCCCAAATCTTTTACATCTAGTTTTAATTAAAAGGAGAGCAATCAGGAAGTAGGAGGAAGAATTTTATTTTCTTCTACCTTTCTTTTCATCTTTCTTGAATGGAATTGCTTACTGTCAAACTCCTTGCCAGCATATTTTAACACTGGAAAATGCAAAATACCTCAGCAAGATCCACTGTTCTGTCAATGCAGTGAGAGATCGTCTTTGTCTAACAAGCATCTGCATGAGGTGTGCAGCGAATCCTTTGCATCGTTCAATGCTACCTAGTCCGATATCCTAAAGAAAACAGATACAGAAAAAGTGGGAGGGAACAGCTGGATGAGTAAGCAGATAACATTCTCTATGCCTCCATTTCATTTCACTGGGCAGGCTGAAAGGTTATAGTTTAACTGAACAAGCCTTAAAATGCAGACAAAAAATAGTTATTACAGTTTTCTCATCTTCATTTTTCTGCATCTTCCATATATCCTGCATACAAATTTCATTTTCAAGTAGCTTCTGCAACAACAGTCATATTAAATCACACTCCACCACAGCAATTCTTATCAGGAATTTAGTGCCAATGGTAAAGCTACACTACATAAATGATGATTAAAATCTAAAGAGATACCAGTCTAAACTTTTACATTCATGACTACTGCTAAAACCACTTCAACAACTCACTTTCATCATATTTACTGACAATTACTTTCACTCCTTTCATTAGGAAGGATCCTATTTTAAAGTTTGAAACAGATGTTCACAACACACAGCAAAACTTCATCTCAGCTATGTTCCATTATTTATGCCACTGCCAGCTGTGACATTTGACAAGATCAATGTTGTAAAACAACGGGTGAAGCACAGTGAGAAGAGAAGCATCTAGAAGAGATCCCTTTTCCCTGGAATACTGGAAAAGTGGTACTGATTTGGCAAAATTCATTTGTTCCTTCTACTGATTTTAGAGCAATTTTTAAGCAAAGAAATATATTTTGCATTAGACACAGGCTCCAGTTATGTCCAATAATAAACCTCAACTCTTTTTTTCCATGAGCAAGAACTAATCCTGGTTTTGTTTTCCTAACAAGCTTTGATTCGGCATTTTGGCAGTTTCCTTCATGCACAATAAGCAACAATTTGAGAATTGTTGGGATGAAAGATACCGCACATTTAACAGATTACTAACTTAGCTCACTAAACTGATATTGTTCAGTCATAAACCAAAAGGTTTTAAAATGCTGCATTTACTGATTGGCCTCAAAATACCATATTTGGTATATTACAGAACATAACATGATCTCACATCACCTTTTTGCTACTAGAAAATTTCAGTCCAAGCTGGTAAAATAGTTAACAGAAGTAGGATTTCTGTTTTTACTTTGGTGTTTTACCTTGGCAGGTGCTAACAACGCTGTCTGAAGTCTAGAGTGGCGTGCAAGTGACCGATAGAAGTACTTCTGGCAACCATCCCAGGCAGAAGAAATCTCTGTCAGTAACCTGATAGAGCACAAAAAAGTCTGATATCAGAAAGGTATAAAATTTCAGCACCTCAGCACACTGGAACCACCAGGTCAGCTCTTCAACCTACAAATTTGCTTACATTTTGTATTGCACAAATGCATTGATCTTGTAATTCTTAGTTTTCTTAAGAGAAAACATTTAATTTTTAAAATAAGCCCTAAGGAAACTCTAAGCAATAGCAGCACAATCTCTATCTTTGAATATCGTTTAACACTTAAATAGTGATTTTTTTTTTTTTTTCATGCAGCTAAATCTAGCTTGATAGGGAAGCCTCTATTTTGGCCTTGATGAAAGATATTATAAACTAAACCCTAACATCTGAGGACAACAGTAACCAGCACGTCTAAATGACAAAAGTCACCTGCTGCCAGAAAAACAACAAAGAAACATCTGAAAGAACATCTTTCCTCTGTTTTTTCCAGAAATGCCCACTTTGAAGTCTATGTATTTTCTCCTGACACATCCCATTAGTCAATGAAGACAAAACAATTAAGTAAGCCCTGTAAAATACAACTCATCTTTAATAAAATTGTTAGCAGTCTACACTCTAATATGATGCTAGCAAAGCATCCAGGTGAAGCTGGGCAGTGGTGGGTTAACTGAAATCTAATTCACAGAAACAACGAAACTGCGGGTAGTTGTCAAAAGTGCAAATCAAAAAAACCCTGTTTTACATGCCAGTACAGTATGTATCAGATTTTCAAACTAAGTAGTAATGGAGGGAAAAAAAAAAAAGGCATATCTAAAATCTTTAGTGAATTACATTCCAGAAATTCCAGTTTAAATCCACGTGCAATAAATTCTACATATTATAGCTGCAATTCATATGATCTAAGGGTTAGAAATACTGTGTACATACGTGCCATCCAGTTCATGTGTACAATTTACTACACCTAATGCGGTACGCAAATCCAGCGGTCGTAGGTAGAGTGTTTCATGATAGTCTTTTGAACGGGACCAAGACAGACCTTTCCGGTAAGACAAACCTGCAATGACATTTGAACACACATCTTTTCATGCCCTCATTCATTTATACGAAAAATATCACTCATACTGCTGGTATTAAGTAGGTTTTTTCCTAATGTTGTCTGATTTTGAGAAGTCTTTGAACATGTTGCAAGTTTTGTAATGTAAGAACACATCATAGTTTAGCTATCTTCAGCTGAAGAACACAGCTGAAATAAGGCAAACATAGACCTACACGTATAAAGGAGGTTGGTGGTGGTGAAGAGAAAAAACAAAAAGCCTTGAACCTGTGAGGCAGGCAACAGCCTGAGAAAGTTACAGCTATATACTTTAAAAACTCAGTCTTCAGGCTGTTATTTTAGCTGGTTTTAAAACTGAATTAAACATTCTCATTTCTCTCAAGCCACTTAGAACAGTCCTTTCAAAGTATGCTGAAGGTAAGCAGAGCCCATGAGAAATAAGCTAGCTAAGTTATGTTGCCATTTTTCCAAACAAAACACAGAATGAATCTTAAGAGCAACATTTTTCACTTCTCCTGGCCCTTTAAGAAAGCTCAGTCAGGGATCGTCATCTCATTTTTAAGACATCAAAAGGCTGATGAATGAGGAAAGTAAAGGCATCTCCTGAAACCAAAGACAGAGCCCAGTAAAGAATTCAGATCTCGTGTTATTTAAATCGTCACAGTATGTCATTCCTCCAGCACAAACTTCACAGGGCAGCAATGGCAGATATCTCTTCAGTACCAGTGGGTGCAAAAAATGCCAAACACAGAAAAAGTGTATGTGCTGGAAACTTCACACTTAGGTTCACCTGGATTTGCTGTTATCTAAATACAAAAAGACCTTAATATTCTGGGAACTATGTACTCAGTACACACATCAACTCTTAAGTACCATAAACTACAAACACTCAAAACTACAACTGAAGCCCCTCCTGCCTCCCAGAAAGCATTTAGTATGTTTTTGTTTTCATTTACTTTACAAGTGTTGTGACATTTTAATTTAGTTTATCAAAATCACACCTTCTTGGAACCCTTAACTAAGTTCCCAAGCTTCTTTCTGCAAGCAGAACAGATTTTTTTTTTTTTTTTTTTTTTGAGAGGTTCTTAGGATCACTGCAGGCCAGAAGCTACGGCTTCGAATAGAAGAATCAAACCCCTAAATTCTTTTCAAAAAAGAAGAAAAAAAATTGGCAAAGTTACATAAGTTTCCACTTCTTGCTATGACTTAGCAGAATGCTGTCAGACAGCTATTTGTTTAACAAGACTGCTTACTTCTGCTGTTTTCTAAACTGCTCAGTAACTAAGAACAGTTGATGAATAATTTAATGCAATACCAAAGGAATAGGCAACAATTAATAGTTTGGGTAGGTCCTTTACCTTAAGACTAACAAGGGGAGCAATGGAGACCGGGCTGCTGAACAGTCAAAAATTCCCATCAATGCACCATTCAGTCTCCATGGCTCAACCAGACCTCTGCCAATCTGATCTCTGCCAGTCTGTCAATCAAGAGACGAGCTCTCATTCTAACGAGCTAACTTAATTTCGGTTCTGGACCAGACAATGGATAAAAGACAATGAGCTTCCCTCTTCTTTCTAAAAGCTGGCAGTGATTTCTGACTAGAGATAAAGTAGATTTCTGCTTCAGAAAAGCCACTGTTGTACATTTAATGGAACGTAGGAAGAACAGAAGGTATCTGAAAGGGCTAACACACCAGGCCTCATAGCCAACAGATGAAGGTAAAGAGAGACTTAAATGCTTCTACGTGTTAGTGGCTCAATTACTTTAAGAGCATAGTATTACGATGGGTTTAGCTGTATTGACAAAAAAGACAAAATGCTTAAGAACTTTGTACTTTTAAACCAAGCATATTTTTATTCAAAGCTCACCTGTCTTAGCAAGGCTCTTAAAGAGATCGGACAAAGCCCGTTGCTTCTGCATCTGAATATGCTTTGCCTCCGATTTCTGCTTCTCCTTATCTGCTGTCTGATCAAATGTTAAATTTTGCAGTTCAACTACAGAAACAATGATACCACCTGTACAGAAGAGAGCAGGGAAAGGTAAGATATGTGAAAATTCAATGTACGCAAAGTAGCCATGAGAAAACAGTCTGAGAAGGGAATTATTTCTCTACAGTTTTTCCTAATTTGTTCCATTTATGTTGCAGAGGTCAATTATAGTATGGAAATCACAAGAATACTTAACCTGTGAACTGGTCAAGATCTTCCACCAGATTTAAGAATGAATTATTTTCTGTAACTGTTGTACACATTTTCTTCATTTTCTTAGTAAGCTTAGGCAGACGATACTGAAGGGATTCTGTACGAAACGTAATGCCATCCTGGCATTCTTCTGGGAGTGCCCTCTGACAAAAAATGAAAGAAACAGTCCAGTTATGCACACGTACTCAAAGCTGTCTTATTTGACCATTAAGGGTAAATTGCTGCAAAAACAAAGGCTAAATTCTGCATTCATCTGAACCCCCAAAACATGCCCATGTGATCCTTTGAACAGTTCAGCACCAACACTCAAGGAAAACTACAATATATGCATGTCAGGCGTACATTAGTTTTGAAAGCAGCCAAGCAAACGGAAAATGCTATGATCCTACTCTCTCACGTGTTTGTCATGACCTCTTTCATGGAGGTTATTGCTGCTTCAGGTCAGCTTCCTCAGCCTTCCAAGCTCAAAGGCACAGTAACCTAAATCACTACTGTCCTCAGGGTGCAGATAACACCACAACCGCTTACTTTCCGCTAGACACAAATTTAATCGCACTGCTAAAGGACCACAAAAACAGTATGCAAAAAGAAATTATTAAATAACAGAAGTAATCCCCCAGCATGTCTAAAGCTAATCTCTAGGATTTGTTCAATTTAAGGTTGCATGCATCTTGTTTAAGGAACGAAGACAACATGAAACTGCAACAAGTGAAACCAACAACTCCGCTAATTATCAGTAACAGGCTCGTGAACAAACAAACCACCAACCAACAAACCAAACCCACAACCAAACAGATTAGATTTACACCAGATTTTTGCCTCCTCACTCTACCCTCCTGACCATCGCAAGACAAGAGCAAGAACACCCACCCTCCTAGTCTGAAGAAACTGGGCAAAGCCTTGGAAGCTCAGAGCAACTGAGCATTCCCACTCACCCCCAAATTCTGATGGCTTACGATTATCTCTTGCATCTTATTAATAAAAAATTAATGGATGTGAATAGGAATCTATTTCAGGAAGAAAAACAGTTGACTTTTTCTCCGAGTCGGACAACTGAATTAGAGACACACTAAACTGTGGCACTTGGAATAGGATTTACCACACATCAGCTAGTCCAAGGCAAATGTTCGCAGTACGCAAGCTGTCAGCCAACAGCAAACATATGACAATGTAGGGTATTCCCCTATAAGGATTCAAGCTCAAAGTAATTTTATATTCAATCAGAGCTTATATGTTCACAAATCCTACAGCTACATGATCATTTGTCTGGGTCCTTGCTTAGAAAAAAGGGGTAATAATTTCAACTCCCAATCCATATTACCACACTAGTAAAGAAGTAGCACACTGCTGCAGACAGCATGCAAGCAGAGAATGATATGTATAACTATCATCTCTATATTAAAGCACAGATATTGTGTCAAATCGGTACAGAACATGCTTGTCTTTCCACGCTGCAGTCCTACCCATCTGTAGTGTTTCTTAACACTGAACACAAATAAGACCAAAAAGTTGATGATATATTCAACAGATTTGACATTTACATAATATTTTTCCGCATAAATCAGGGAGAAGCAACATAGAGATGAGAATAGAGAAAATATCCTTCCCACACTTAGAATAAAGAATACAGTTACCTTGGCAACGTCTGTTTTCGCAGACAGAATTTTTCTTAATGTGTTGTTTAGCCTCTGAACTTTGGTCTCTTTGTCCTCAGATTCTTCCTGCTTTTGCAAGCAGTCTAGCTGCTCTTCCTTACCAATTTCCACCAAGGCAGGCCGACATGGCTCATTCAGAACAACTTCAAACTTCTTCATGAATTTAAAAAGGGTCCTAATTACCAAAGGAAAGCAAAAATGTTAATGGGTTTTATAACCCTGGAAATCTCTCAGCTGCTGGAAATAAATATTTCCACTGTGTTATGAGTAGAAGAAACATTCTTGCATTCAAATTTAGTATCATAGAGAAATCAGCTACAAGGAAGGTTCCAAATACGGAGCTTAGTTCCAAGCTCCAAGTTACCTGCGTATTTTTTCAACTGATTGTTTTATAGCCCAGAAGCTGACATCATTCCACTTGGAAATTTTCACAAATTCCTATTAGGGAA